ATTTATTAATTTATGATCAAGAAATAATATAAGATTGCTATCATTTGGGTATAACCTGAAGTTTGGTAGTACATAGAATCCATATATGTATAAATATAGAATTTTATTTGATTAAATGTTGTGCCTTTATCTTTTTGTCGTGGACTGTATATGTATATATTTATATGTTTGATTTTTTTTAAATTACTTTCTCTAATATTAGAAAGTAGTAATATATTCATTAATGAATACGTTATTTACCCTAATAAAATTTGATTTTTATATTCAAAAACTAATTGGTAAAACAGTTTGGTAAATTATAAACTGGCTATTGTAACCTAAGCGTAATTTACCATGGTATAAAAGTCGTGTGTTTATTAAAAATTACTTTTATCAATACCGTTTATCAATAATAATTCATAGTCGATGTTATATCACGAAAACATTTTTATCCACTTCGAATATTTTGCTTAATTTTTTATATAAGTGTAGCAATCGTCACTAGAATTTACTAATTAATATAAACTATTAAAGATTAATCAAAAGTAGTTCTCCAAACTTAATTCCATTTTCTCGTATGCAGTAAATTATGATGGAATAAATATGAAAAATGCAAATGATGTCTTGAAGTTTATACTACAACTAAGGATTACATTAACAGGTAAAAATGCTTTATTCATATTACTCATTATTTCGAATTATAGATAAATATGACATTAAAGTACAAAACCATAAAATTAACAACTTGGTTAATGAGGATGACATTTGGTACTTAGACTCACAACGTCATAAGTGTGCTCACAGGGGAGGCAGCTACATGCCCGGCGAGATTTTCCGCTCCACCATAATTTATTGTATTTTAATAATAGTGTAATGTATGAGATATATGTATATGTATACGTTATCTGTGTATATTCTTAAATCTGTATGTGTACATGTAATAATAAATCAGTTCATCAGTAACCATCCACCGGAATGGTATAGTGTTGTATTAAATGTATTCCCAACCTAATAAATGGCGACAAGTATATGGAAAAAAAACCGCGGGTTTGCTAATTAAGTGTTAGTTATATTTTATTTACTGTGTATAAGTAAAAATTATAAGGTTTTTTTGGGGTAAAAAACATGCTTGGAAGCATAGAACAATTCGTCCTGGGAGACGATATTGAAGAGTTCATTGAGCGGTTGGAACAATTTTTTGTACTAAATGATGTGCAAGGAATGAAAAAAGTGGCCTCATTATTAACTTTTATCGGACATGATGCGTATTCGGCGTTAAAAAAGTTGACGTACCCAAAAAGTCCAAAAAAATTATATTTTAAAGAATTGATAAGTAAACTTAAAGTATACTATTCAACGGAAATCAATGAAATCTCGGAACGGTATAAATTTCAAAAAGAAGATCAAAAGGAAGGGCAATGTATTGTAGAATACATTGTAGAACTCATGTCAAAAGCTCAAAATTGCAACTTTGGTGCATTTTTGGAGGAAGCTTTAAGAAACCGTTTCGTATTTGGTACCAGGGAAAGAAAATTGAGAGCATTGCTATTAAAAGAGAGTAAACTAACTTTTGCAAGTGCTTGTCAAATTGCGACGTGTTGGGAAATGGCAGAGAAAGAAATTGAAGAAAAACCATTTAATCAGTTTGCGGTACGAAAGCAAAATAATTATGGAAATTGTAACGATAATAAAAACATATGTGGTAAATGTGAGAAAAGGCATGCGACGACTTCTGAATGTCCAGAAAAATGAACCAGAGTCATAAATGTTTGGCCATTTTGCATGTTTTTGCTACACGAAATTAAAACCAACGAATAAAAATTATTCGAACTCAAATTGGCGTCGGCATCAAGGTCAAGTCAGATGATCAGATATCACTAAGGAGTTATCAGAGAAATTAGTGGGACAGATTGTGTCAACAAGTGATTCCAATTTTAACCTGTTATCAGTAGGTCCGGCAACAATGGAAGTAATGATAAACGGTGCAAAACTGATTATAGAAATAGATACCGGAGCATATGGATCAGTAATTTGTGAAACAACATATAAACAATTTCTTATATCTGTATGAGTACATGTAATAATAAATCAGTTCATCAGTAACCATCCACCGGTATGGTATAGTGTTGTATTACCTGTATTTTCAACCTAACAAATCGTACGGAATTTCAAAATCAAAAAATATCAAATTTATATCGTACTTATAAAAATATCGACTATCATAGTGTAATTATTTTAGTATGCATGACGATTAAAGAAGATATTATTAATTATTATTTTTAATCGTCGTATGTAAGTATTTTTATTATTTTGATGATAAGATAGCATCAAGTGTGGTTACTAGTTTTTTCCTATACCATAATATTAGTAAATTTTGTTATGATACTAACTAAGGTTGTAAAAATAAGATTACCAATTATTTAGTAACTGTCTTAATATTTTAAAGGACTCCTTATTGATTTTAGATTTATAAAATAAACGAATATGTTTTCTAAGAAAATTAGTCACCAGTATGTTATTTGTTATCTTGTCAACACTAAGTCTACGTATTTTATTTACGAATTACGTACTATAAATTTTGAAATCGGTTTTCTCTTATTGCTTTGGTAGTCGATATCTGACAATTACTTACAATCTGTAAATTCAATAGGTTTTCTTTGTTTAGACGAGTTTAGGTCTATATGAAGGCCGTATTACTAATAACTACCTATTATTATTTCATACTTATTCATTAATATAATATAATAAAAATATACTGGCTGACACGCGCGCCACCGTCAACTCGTCTAACGAGTCTGCTATAAATACTACACATCAGTGAAGCGTAATATAAAAGTTATTTATGCCAATTTTTGTTCTTTTTGTAAATTTTATTTCTAACTAAAATGAATACTAAATTAAAAAGTGGTTCAGAAAAACGGCGTTTATAAGAATAATGAATGCTGGAAAAAGCCGGTTCTGATCCAAAACAAAAAAAAAGTTATCATTTATAAAGGAAATAGAAATCACAGATTTCAATGTTAACCCTGGGTTTTTAGATGAAGATAGAGTTACCATTTCTTCTGAATCAAAAGTAAAATTAATTATAATATGTAAAGAGGATGTTCCATCGGGTACTAACATCTTTAGTAACTTTTGGTTAAGCAAATATTTTGTATTCATTTTTTTAAAAATTATTTATAGTTTTGGACATAAATAAAAGTAACACAAAATGTTTGATGAATTTAAAGTGTTCTAATCTCAAGAAAATATTCAATTTACTTACATCATAAATGTCTATGCATTAGGAAAAAAAAGATTCAGATACAATTTGTGAATCAAATTTACCAGTTGCTTCAAATCAAAACAAATATATTTGTGTTTCATCTGAGAAAATCAAAAAGTGTTTACAGAAAATAAGTTATGAAGATAAAAAATATACTATCCAGGAATCTAGCTCTACTTCAGTTATTGATAATATTGCATTTTTTTATCATGCCAGTGTAACGTACACATTATTCGTCCTTAACCAACATTAGCATTTCAATACCATACTAGTGCCTGATCAGCACAAACGTCCCTACGACCTACTACAGATATGCGGCACGCGCGGGTGTAAACAAAACCGATGATATTCTTCTTCATTAAATAAATATATAACGACAGTCAGTCGACATTTTACCACGCTCGTGGCTACTCATTTTTTATTACAGATTATACTTTATTTACTACAACCTAATTCCGACAATATTACATTTTACAATTAATTTAATTATTAGATTTATTTTATTACAATCGGATTGTGTACGCTCGCCACTGTCGCTCACCTAACTTGGATACCACAACATCTCTAGAGATCCAGTCAGGTTATATTTAAATATACTATTAAATAGAAATAAATGTTTGTTATCGTTGTTAGTTAAGAGTCTATATTTATTGGTCACGAAACTGTTAACCGCCCTTCTAGTGGGATATAAATTATAAGCGTTGCCCCGTTAAGGTACAGCTTAGCCAACTGTTAGGATCCTAGCGGGAAAGCACGTTGCAGTCTGGTGGAGGCGCCGGGTTCTGTTCTTAACAGAATAGATCTGCCCCTAATTATGCTAATTTAATAGATATACCAACAACGATCAAATTTTTTTTTTTTTTAATTATATTGCTTTAATTTAGTACCAATTGCCGTTTGACGAATATAATTATTTAATTTTACGAAGTATATTACTAACACATTAATATAAATCATTTTCTATTTTAAAACAGCATTTCATAATTATATCTATACTTATCTTAAGAAATTAGCTTAAAATTCGCATATGCCTTTATATAATTATTATCTTAAGCGCGTCGAGAATAATCAAACGATCTGCATAAGTCAAACCGCTTGANATAATCAAACGATCCGCATAAGTCAAACCGCTTGGCAAACGTTAGGATTTAAGGACTCTAATATAAACAATTTGAACGAAGAACAAATCGTTCAAATCATTAAAGACAACCTTAAAAATTTTAAAATAGCCTACGCTTTTCAAAGGTGTAACAATATAAAACACCCAGTAGGCGCTACCGTTGTTCTTTCAACAGAACGATTTACCATATTTAAGCGTGTTAGCACGAGGAAATATACAGCATAAAGCTTTGCTGCCTTATCTCTTAACGATAAACTGACAACTTTAAAAGCCGACAATAGGGGATATACATACCTTTTCTGTTCGAAAAACGATCTAATTAATATTTTAGGCAGTTTAAACAGCGAGCAACCAATCAATAGTTCAATAAATAGTCTTATTGCTATACTTCGCCCGAAACTTAATCATCCGCCGCTTGTCGAAAAATACGACTCGGACGACGAGTCTGATATTGAAAAGCTTCCAAATACAAAGTTTCTTCCTACTATTGAAACTAAAAACTCTTCTTGTGGCCCCACTACACCCGATACATTAGAAAAAATAATAGTCGAAATCAAAACACTAAATTTAGAAACTAACAGCCCAGTTTCTACAATTTTTCCGGCTTAATTAAATATTAATAATAACAAAAGAATTATGGCTGTAACCGCAATACCAGCACCAATTTTCGCAGGTCAACTTTCCGAAGACGTAACTAGATTTTTCAATAATTTCAAACGCGTAGCAACCGCTAATAGTTGGGATAACCCAAAAAAATTAATTATGTTACCTATCTCTTTACGCAATATGGCGCAAACGGTATTCGAAGCGATTGAATTACAAAACAATAACTTAACCTGGCTTGCAGCAAAAACAGCAATGATAGGGTTCTACAACTCGGACGCGCAAGTTCGATTAAAAAAGCAAAATTTAGAATCAAGGAGAAAAACAGATACGGAGACGATTCAGGAATATTTATTGAATGTAAAGGCGGAATGTAAAAGAGTAGATAAAAATATGCCTGAGAGACATGTAATACGATATATTATACGAGGATTGCCAGAAGAGTATTTTAGAAAATTAGAAAATATGAATTTGGATTCGCTCGAGATACTCGATGAAAACATTAAAAGGTTAGAAAGAAACGCAGGGTTAAATGATAAAACTGATAAGGACAGTGAAATAGAGAAATTAAAAAAGCAGGTCGAGATTTTGACGTTGTCTATCCAAAATAACCCCGAAGTAAACTATATTAGGCCACCACGCAATAATCGAGCAACTAATCGTACTACTAATTACCGCAATGAACAGCGAAACAACAATAATAGGAGTCAATACAACAACAATAGTAATAACAACAGAAATTTTAATCACAATAATGGTAATATCCGAAATAATTTCAATAGGAATAATTATAGACCCCCTGCTAGGAGTTTTGAAAATAATTCTGGGCGCCCCAATATGAATTTTACAAATAACAGAAAGGAAATTTGGCAAAACTACAACCAAAATAACTATAGTAATGATAGAAATAAAAATAGAAACAACAACATTAGAAATTACAATAATTATAAACGTGAAAATAATTACATAGGGCGTAATGAAAACACTAATAATGTCTAAAACCCGCAGTATAACAATAAATTCGGATCGAACTCTTCCACAAACTTATTACTCTACGATTCTATTAAAAATATANAACTTATTACTCTACGATCCTATAAAAAATATTTTTTACCCTACAAATTCAAACGGTGGGGTCACTAAGCAAATAACTTACGAAACTCGCCCCGCGATCGAAGCACCGCCAGAAATTACAAAAAACGCGTAAGTCAAAACAAGGAGACTAGGCTGAGTTTTGACGCTCCTACACCACCTAGTCAATCACCATCCATTAATTCTTCTAAAACCTCGGACAACATCAAACAAAATGATAAGATAATTAGCTGTACTATTAACAATATCAATCCCATTCATCACAGAATACAAACAAATGAACCAATTATTGCAGGTATTTTTAATGATCGGAATTTTAAATTTATCATCGATACAGGCGCGTCAACGAGCATAATTAACAGCGCCCTTTTACTGCCGTAATACACTATTCATCCGACAAATAACGCGACATTGACCACAGCGAATGGTACACCACTAAATTTATTAGGAAAAATTTGTTTGGAAGTTTATTTTAACGATCATTCATTTTTAATCGATTGTGCAGTAGTTGATAATTTGAAAGGGGATAATCTTTTGGGTTATGATTTTTTGAATAAATACATGGTAAACTTGTGTATGCGCAATTCAACATTGACCTTATATGATAATAACAAAAAAATAGTAATAAAATTCACCAATAGCGATAGTAAGCCCGCGGCGCAATTGATAGACGATAAATATGAAAATCAATTATCCATTGATTATATGGCTGCGCGAACCAAAATATTAAAACACGTGCCCAAAGACGGATTTTGTGGCGTGAACACTTTAGTTGAAATTTTGAAAAATAAGAATATAGACATAGATTCCCACGGCATTAAACAATTATTAAACATAGATTCCGCGAAACGGCCAGTATGGCTGGATTCAGAAGACTTGGCCGCAGTCGCTTCACATTTTAATAAAATATTAATAATTTCTCAAGGCGACGAGCCTTCCGTCAATAATACCGCCGTCATTGCATTTGTTCAGCCACATCGCGAAAACGTGTTCGTCCTTTTCTCACGGAGACATTGGACACCCCTGGTATATGTCCCTAACACGGAGATAAATTTTAAATTTCTTACAGTTATTAAAATTAATGACTCGAGTTCCTTAAGCGTTAGGCGCGATATTTTAACCAAGCGAATTAAAGAGTCCGATTTCACTGATAGTATGGAAAACAATAAGAACCAACAATTGCTATCTCGAGTTTCTAACAATGCAGACGTGGTCAGAGAACCATTGATGAACAAACGCGCTTCAAATAAAAATTTCGCAGAATTCACCCGTGGCAATAACAATACGTCGCGAACGTTGTCTGAAAATATGAAATATGATATCAATCCATCATTGTCTCCCGATATGATAAATAAATTAAATACGTTACTAAATGAATTTTCTCACGTTTTTTCAAAAACCAAATACGATTTGGGAGAGGCTCACCTCCCTGAAATCGAACTAAAATTAAGTAACAATCAAATTATCAATCTACCAAATTTTAAATTAAGCGCCATAGAAAGAGCTGAAGTCGAAAGGCAAACTCAAGAACTTTTAAAAGCAGGTATAATAGAGCCATCTACAAGCGCGTACTCTAATCCAATATTTTTAGTAGGAAAAAATTTACCACAAGGGGATAAAAAAGGTAAAACCCCTCAAGAATATAGAATGGTTCTTGATTACAGAAAATTAAATTTAATATTATTACGAGAAAGCTTTCCTATGCCAATCATACAAAACGTCTATGACTGCTTGGCAGGTAACAATTACTTTTCCTTATTAGACGCATCGAGCGGTTTTTACCAATTCAAACTTTCCAAAGATTCGAGACAATACACAGCCTTTTCGACAGAAACCGGTCACTATCAATTCAAAAGATTACCAATGGGCCTTAATAACGCGCCGTCCATTTATCAGTCTGCCATGTGCAAAATCATGGGAGGCCTTAATTATAAAAACAATGTTTGCTACCTCGACGACTGTGTCATTTTTGGCAAAACATTTGATAGCTATTTACATGCACTAAAACTTACATTAGAAAGATTTTCATACTACAACCTCAAATTAAAACCATCTAAATGCAAATTCGGATACCAAGAAATTAAAGTTTTAGGCAACGTAATAAATTCACAAGGTATAAAACCAACCGAACAAGGCCTAGAGTCAATAAAAAAATTTCCATCGCCTTTTAACATCAGGCAACTCCGTAGCTTTCTCGGGCTAGCTAACTAATTTCGAAAATTCATCCCAAACTTTAGTAAAATTGCAAAGCCTTTATCAGATTTAACAAAAAGGATATTTAAAAGTAAGCGCGATAAAATTAATTGGACAAACGAGCACGAAAAAGCTTTTCAAGAACTAAAAAATAAATTAACTAGTGAGCCTCTTCTAGCACATTATAACGAAAACTATCAATCGATAATCGTAACAGACGCGAGTCGCGAAGGTCTTGCCGTAATTTTGCAGCAAAAAGACGATAGTGGCATAATTCGACCAGTTTCATATGCTTCCAAAAAATTAACTTCTACTGAATCTAATTACTCAGCAATGGAACTCGAAGTTTTAGACATACACTTTGCATTTACCCAATATCGACAATATCTACACGGTAGACAAATAACAGATTGGACCGACCATAAAAATTTAACGAACTTCATGAATATAAAAACGGAATCCAACGTAGTTAACCGAATAAGAAATAAATTAATGGGGTATGACTTTAAAATAATTTATAAAAAAGGTATTTTTAATAAAGCTGCCGACCATTTGTCGCGTTACCCTTATTCAGAAACCGGGAACGGCAAAATCGAACTATTTCCGTTAGATTCAATAAAACGCGAAGACGTAAATATTAACTTAGTACAATCAATCAATATTCAAGTAGATCAGGCAAATGATGAATATTTACAAAATATTATAACAGCAATTAGAAACCCCGACGTGAGANAATGATGAATATTTACAAAATATTATAACGGCAATTAGAAACCCCGACGTGAGAAATAATAAATGGATTAACAAGGCAAAACACTATTTTATTGATAAAAATGGCGCTTTATATTATACTATTAAATATCACAACATGACGAAAAAAGTATTAGCTTTACCTTCTAAGTACATTGAAAACATGATTACCGATAGTCATGATAGCCCCCTGAGCGCACATACGAGGTCTGGCTATTAAATAACGAGACTGCGCGCCTATAGAGCGTCCTATAGTGGTGGTGCAAAATACGAGTAGTGCGTTGGATAGCTTAAAGTCTTATCTATTTACGTACCAAAACACGTTTTTATCACTATTATAGTATTTGTGCAATAGCGGTTAGAAACAAACGTGTTTTTTTTTCGTGCCGAAAACCATGTGTGACGAAAAACACGAGCAACGTATTAATCTCAAATTTCTCGTCAAGTTGAAAAAATCTCCAACCGAGTGCTATAAATTGTTAAAAGAGGCCTACGGGGACAATTCTCTATCTCGTGCGCGTGTTTTCGAATGGTGTAAGCGCTTCAGTGATGGCCGAGAGAGCACTAAAGATGATCAGCGCCCAGGTCGCCCTGTCACTGTTTCAACTCCGGAAACAGTGACCAAAATCAACCAAATTGTGCGTGCAGATCGTCGAATGAGCATCCGGATGATTGCCGAGGCCGTAAACGTCGATAAGGAAACGGTTAGAAAAATTTTACACGAGGAATTGAACATGACAAAAGTTTGTGCGAAGATGGTGCCAAAAAATCTGACTCCTGACCAAAAGCTCTTGCGTCAACAGGTCTGCTCAGATTTTCTTGAAAGGTTAGAAGACGATCCCAGACTGATGGAAAACATTATTACTTGCGACGAAACATGGATTTTTCAATACGATGTTGAAACAAAGCGGCAATCGATGCATTGGAAGACGCCTCAATCGCCCAGAATCAAAAAAGCAAGGATGTCCAAATCAAAATTTAAGGCAATGCTGATCGTTTTTTTCGACATTAACGGTATCGTGATGACTGAATGGGTTCCGGAGGGTCAGACTGTCAACCAGACTTACTATTTGTCAGTTTTAGGAACACTGCGAGAACGGGTTCGTAAGAAACGGCCCGAGTTGTGGAAGAACAACTCGTGGATCTTGCACCAGGACAATGCACCTGCCCATAACGCGCTATCTGTGAAGCGGTATTTGGCCGATAAACGTACTCCAGTGCTCGAACATGCGCCGTACTCGCCAGATTTGGCCCCGTGCGATTTTTTTCTGTTTCCAAAGATAAAATCTGCTTTGAAAGGGACCCGATTTGAATCTATGGAATCGGCAAAACAAAAAACGGCGGAGCTCCTAAAGGCCCTCACTAAAGAAGACTTCCAGCACTGCTTCGATCAATGGAAAATACGTATGAAAAGGTGTGTGGGGAGAGGAGGGGAGTATATTGAAGGGGAGCATTCGAATGTAGAATAATTTTTATAATAAAACTCTTTTTCGTAACCAGTCTTGTTATTTAATAGCCAGACCTCGTATAGGTTTCACCTAAACTCTGGACAAAATTAAAAATAGATATTTCTGGCCAAAAATGCGCAAAAATATAAAAAAATATGTGTTAAGTTGCGAAAGTTGTCAAAAGCGAAAATCGTATAAACAACCAAAACCTCCTAAAGCAGGTAGATATCCATTAGATAATTGCGGAATAATGGATGACATTTTTTTAGATTACATTGGTCCACTTGAAAATTCGAAATCATACAAATATATACTTGTCGCAACCGATCGGCTATCTAAATTTTGCGTAGCTAAACCTTACGCAAGTGCCAACGCACAGAGTATAAACAAATTTCTGTTAGACTTCATTTTAAAATTTGGGCCACCCAAAATTATTAGGTCAGATAATGCTAAACATTTTACTGCTAATTTGATTTTAGAACTTTTAGATTCTCTACATATAGATAAAAAATTTGGAATTCCTTATAAGCCCACTTCGCAAGGGCAAGTCGAACGGCAAAACCAAAGTCTCATTGATATGATTGCCCACTATGTCCAAGATAACAACAAATGGGCCGACTATCTGCCTTACATAGTCTTTGCCTATAACACTTCAGTACACGAGGTTACTAAGTATACTCCGTACTACTTGGTTCACGGTTATCATCCTAAAAGTATATATGACCTAGCTCTTATACTCCCAGACGACGCAAATGTGTTATCTGAACTAGATAATTTAAACCATGTCCGAAAAACTTTGCCAAAAATTATTGAACAAGCATCAAACAACACCATTTCAAAATTAAACTTTCCGAAACACATCGCGCAATACTCTGCTGGACACAAAGTACTAGTTAAGGTCCCCATTCGAACTAATAAATTTGACAATCGCTATGAAGGGCCCTACGAGATTGTCAAACAAACGGGTCCCTATACATATTTAATAAAAATGTATAAAAATAATATACTCAAAGACTCGTCGGTTGGTGACGTTGACCAAATGAAACCCTACGTTTCTAGAAACTAATTTTAAATTAATTTTGATTTTTCTTTTCTCATTCTCCTTATTTTATTGTGTTCATAATTTTTACCACACCATGCGAATAGTGTGCTATTCCACACATATAAATATATATGTGTATATACTAGGGACATGTGTATTGTACGCTTGAATATGCTACCTCATCATAACAAAAGTGTGTGAATTTCATTTAACAGCGCGTGACAACCGGACAGTTATTCTACGGCTACTGACTTGAACATTATCTTCCCGAAACAAATAGTGCGATACTTAACTATTATACAGAACTTCAATTTTTTATTTTTTTTTTTTTTAGACTTTACATCAATTATTTATATAATTTGTTCGCAATAAATAACGATTTTTATAATTACTTATAACATTCTGTTTTCAAATAATTTTATTTTCATCTCTCACAACTATTTTCAAAATTAACAACAAAATTCAACAACGCACCATTTTGTGGAGTAATACGGAATAAATCAACTCAGCATGGCACAAGAAAAATATACATTCAACGGTACTGAACTGTCTGTGGTGGACAGCCGAATCGAAAAGTTCTTCGGTGAACCCGGTGCGGTGTTTGCTCAATGTACCAGTTCAGACTTTGACCACCCCCGCAGAAGGACCNGTACCAGTTCAGACTTTGACCACCCCCGCAGAATGACAAGAGGCGTTGCTCGGGAATTCGCGTCGTTCGTCGGGAAACCGGTAAGTTCCGATCGGCTTTCGGCTTACATTTGCATACAACAAAAAAATTCAAATACAGTACTGACTCTTCTAACAAAATCAAACTATAATAAAAAACCNATACAGTACTGACTCTTCTAACAAAATCAAGCTATAATAAAAAACCCTCTATCTACGACTTCGAATCTGCCATCTCCCAACTATCGGATTTTTTACTATTAAATAACATACGGGGGGTTACCCTGCCACCGATTGGAATGAATCGCGACAAAATTCCTATTGAAATCGGAGCGCGTCTCATTTACCATCATTTGCTAAGCCGGGGACTAAATGTAAGAATATGCGCGATGGACCAACTCTACCGCCACTTGTGCCATCAGTTCCATCTGCTAGAACACCGACATTTCATTAAAAACAATCATTATATTTAATTATATTTTTGTATTTTGTATTATTTAGTTATTTATTTATATAAATTTTTTTTTGTTCTTTTCTCACTCTTTCAATTAATTACAAAAGCGTTCATAATCATTCTTAGTTTATTTTATTACTGCACAGTTTACCATATTCAATTTAAATGTCAGCCGTTTAACATCTAACTTCCATAGTTCGCCAAACATCTTCTTTATACCCGGATGATTTTATTTTTCCCAGACGTATTTTCCTATGTGATTTTATTTTTTTTCCCCGGATGACTTTATTTTTCCCAGACGTATTTTCCTGGATGATTTAATTTTTTTTTTCCTGGATGACCATTCCCGGATGATTTTATTTTTCCCAGATGCTTTTCCTGGACGTTTTTATTTATTCACAGGACACCATTCTTTCGATCTTAACACCGCGCAACCTTGCTGATGCAGCGTAATGGCCAACGAAGCATTTTAATAGGTAGCGCACCGAGAATTAATACGTGATTCCTAACCTCTAATGTACAACATTATGAGTGTATTTATTACTACACCTTGTTTTGTTATAAATATATTATTATCATTATTATTTTTTGTTTCCGTTTTTCATTTATACATGGCAACTATTGGTATTTTATCTTTACATCGCAAATTGATTATTAACACGCACGTTACGACTTTTCCATCAACTTATGGTATGACTTGAAAACTTATATATTTAATTTTAAATCTACAATAATCCAATATTTTATACTTTATAAAAATCTAATTAACTTCATTTAATTTTTTATAAATAATAATTGATTTTATCTCACGCACAGTCGCCCGCAGTAAACATAGTAGCATAAATATAAAAACAAAAAAAACCTATTAAGAGATCCGCCCACGTTTACACCGATTAGCTCTCATTCATACATTTGCTTATTCCATATAATTCATAGCGAGTACATTAAATAAATCACGAACAATTGGTACGCTTATTAAAGCATTTTTCTATTTTGTATGGTATATTGTAGTGATGCGTACACATATATATTATTAATAAATGAGTAGTTTCAGATGTCAATAAAGGAAACAATCTCGGCAAATTAAACAGCTGTTTTCACAGCTACCTTAATAACATATATATTTTTTTTTATTGTATGAAAAATTTGAACTAAGAAACATAAGCGCAAGTCTGCCACTTCAAGAACTCGATATTGTAAATTTTTTTTTTTTCATTACGCGTATATTAACTGGATCTGACTTTTACGAATGAGATGACATTTTTTTTTTCTCTCTCTCCTCTTCAATCAATTGTTCATTATAGATTTAATATTTACTTATGCACGATTAACGTAACTAAGACACTATGTAAATGTAAGCCTGGTTTTTTGACAACGT